CCCCCCCACCTTCACTCATGAAGTGAACTACCGATAACTGGGCATCTATGATCGGACAGAGATGTTTAAAAGGCAATAGTAAAGAATTCGCTGTAGCAAATATTGACCAATCAATCCTCGCATATGTACATTTATTTTCTCAATATTGGACCATTCTTTGAGCCGCAAGTCCTTTTCCTCATCCCCCTTGGGTCTCGATAGTTTCAAACTATGCACAAGAATAGCAGAGCAAATACAAAGACTTTAAATAGCATTTGCGGTGTTGGTTATCCATTATTGATAAAGTTAACACAAAAAACTTCTAAATAAAATATCATACGTAAAGCTTGATAATTATTCTTAAATTGCGACAACACAAAAGTAATGAAAAAGCCAATGCAAGATCTAAATCTCATACCTAAAATTAATATACCAGCTTGTATAGAACGCAGATTAAGTCAATAAACATTACTAATCAGGGAGCGTGTTTAGAAAATATACGAGCACTTTACGATGGCTTGCACTTCAGCAATTAATCAGAGCTAGAAGCACTATGAGCATGTGATAGCAAACTGTCAGGCAATCTCCCCCCCCCCCCCCCCCCACCACCAACCAAAACAATAACGACAGTTCAGGATGTTTTGATAAGAGGTAGAATTTGAGAAATAAAAGCAGCTTATACAAAAACAAGCATCCAGAACAAGTAAACCGGATAATGACCTAAAGCCATTCTTTTTCACTGAATTCCTGGCTGTAACCTTGGAGAAGTCACATCAAAGCTTAGCCCAACTAATCGGAGGACAATCAGTTCTCAATCTCCACCAGACACATCGAAGTTGGTGAGAGAATGAGAATTGCAGATAGTGTTCAAGAGAACATCTTTCATCACCAACCCATCCACTTGAATTTCAAATGCAGACTTAATAAAGAAGGCAAACTTTACGCTGGCTTAGTCAGGGGATTTGTTCATGTGATAAATTAGGCAAATTCTCCCCAGTTAAAACAATACTGAAGCCTCTATAAGCGCTGAATTTAAATATCCACATGAACAAAAGAGTAAAACAGATAAATTAATTATGATGAAATATTGCCCTTAAACAATAAAGATATCCAAATGCTGTACAGATATAGAAGTTTCCTTCGAAATCAGGAATGCAATTGAGATAACCGGGTGAAAAAACCGCTACACCCGTGATTTAATTAAATTGCAGTGTACAGGAAATCCAATATATAACAGGAAAAGGTTACAAAACATAACCAGGAAATTGAGTGTTATTTTGCGCAATAAGCTTCGTAACTACAACTAGTGTTAGACAAAGGAAAGCATAGAAAAGGAGTTTTAAGCGGGGTTTTCTATCCTCTAAACTATACTACAAATTCGTAAAGTGGCACGCTTTTAAATAATAGATCATATTAAGGTAAATAAGAGACAAAAAAGGGTGAATGTGTAGCCCATCAAAACGAGGATATATTAATTAAGTTAGGAATTCTCAAGTTTCTATCGAGAATAGTTACCAAAAATAGCCATTTTTCTGACCTTCGAACTTTGAGGATCTTAACCAAAGACGAGATTGGAAAGGTGTTCCAGAAGCAGAAGCATAATAGCAATTAAGATGCATCCACCAGCTAGCCAGCAAAGTGAATGTGACTCGGAGGAAGGCAATGCCCACCTTAACAGAAGAACTAAACTACACGAAGAATTCCAGTAATCACACTTCACAATAAGGGGTGCGCGATAGACTTACCTCCACGTGGTGCACCCTGGGCAACGAGTACTCATACGGCAAAAAAGTCTATTAACTGGCAGTTGACTTCTCCCTTCAAACCACCATCACCTCACTCTATGCCATATTCGATTACTTCCACAGTAATCACCTCGCCTTTTCTCTGCCTGACTCTTTCACATATGTCAATCAATATTCTGTCCCTCCTCTCGACTTTTTGTCACTCTGATGTTCCTCCTCCCCTCTGTGAAGCCCGAAGTCAGCTAAAGGGCTAATAATAACTTTCAAAACGCCTGCCTTTAGAGATAAATAAATAATACTTCACAATAAAATTTGCGTAACTACTCTAAATGTAAACTTGGAGATGAAAATAGAACAAGGCAGTACACTAGGCCAACTTAACCTGATAGTAGCTGCCACTCAACCAACCACGTGACTAGTAGGATGATGAAAATAAGGGGAGAGAGAGAGGGGGGAGGGGAGGCTCCGGTTCTCAGGAAAATAGAAATAAATCTGAGAAGGAAGAATTATTAAACTACCCAATGGAATGCGTGCATTACACAACACACATAGCGTATTGATGCCAGTACAAATTTTTCATTCGAAATACCAATGGAAAAGGCCTGGATAAGATGTCGAGGGAGTACAAATAATCATAAAGGGATTCCAGTTTGCTCTAAGTGCCTTCTGTTAGTCTAAAATCGTGAAAAGTATATTGCCTACTGGAGGAAAATTCTCGATAGTTTATATGAAAACTACAGTTCCAGAGCTCAAAAGATTAGTGTGATGGCACCATCAAATCGTTCTATTCCGGGTATTTTGAAATCGATCGAATTAAAAGTGAGAAAATGAAAAGGAGAATAAATCCTTACTCTTGAAAACTAACATATGCATAACCAAAATATGCCAACTTGACATAGAAGATAAGCATCGGTAGAAACGTAAAAATTTACTGGTAAATAAGTTACAAAGGACAAAGACCACAATCGTAACTAAAGATATGTAGAAATCTTGAATTCATGACAGAAATCCCTCCACTTATTATACTCCCCTCGGTAAATACTATTTCGAAGACTATGGACTTCATGTCAAAATAGTAAGTCGGATAAAACTCCTTTTTTAAATGGATTAAATATTTAATAAAGATAAGATCTTAATCTGTGCATCATAATCATATGGTGACCTTGGAACCCACCCAAGCCTGTTTGCTGAATTTTTTCCCATAATTTTGCATCTTCTCCGCTCATTGCCACTTATGATTCATCTTTTAGCCCTTAAAGCTATTGATTTTCTAAAGTTAGCTAACACCTTCATTTGTAAGACGTAATTTCAGATATTGAATTTCTGTTGCTCTCTTATCCAATGTACAACTCCTGTCTCCCTCCCATTTTGTGATGGCCAAGGTTGCTTTGTTAGCTTTTCTGATAAGTGAATTAATAATTCAGTGTTCAATTTGGTGGTTATCCTCTGCCTCCCAATGTGTCAAGTTTGCCTATCTAAATAGATAAAATACAATATTATGACAATGTGATCTAAATAAGACATTCGCTTGAGATATTTAAAGTTTTTTTGCGCATTATATTTTCCAAACACTAAACCACCTACACAAAGCATTTTCGTTTCATTCCACTGATATATATATATATATGTGTGTGATAACCTAAACATCAGGCAACCTCAAACATTATCTAATTTCCCTCATCGGTAATATTCTGGCAATATCTGAGCTTAATCGCATAAAAAACCTATAACTACTCGCTGCTGCCTACACATAGGGGGCTCACTTTTTAAATTGCACGAGATATCACTGCATAGGCTAGTATTAACAAAACCTTTTAAAGAAGGCACTTAAACATGATTGAGTGATCTCCAACCGTATAGAATTGCGTCAATTCAACGCCTTATAGGACGCTGAAGATGGCAAAATATTTAAGAAAGCGTCAAGTTATAGACAAATTAGGAGGTTAGGAAATCAGTTGTTCGAATTTAAATAGAGTGATGGATCATTAAAGAATACTTAAGTAGATGCAAAGACTGCTTAGAACTGCCATGGGAAGAAAAAGTCCAAAGATTCAAAAATAAGGGTTTAAGGAATTGGACTTCCAGATACTAACTGGTCAAAAGTAGATAAATTGATTCTTAAAATGGGTGCCCACTAACGAACTACCGCAAGACCTATTTCCAATACCCGAATTTAGCGATAGCGAATTCGAAACGGGTTAGACATTCCAATTTAAGTAAGGAAGGGTATATCTGAGCCTAATCGCAGAAACAGCGTCACCTCAATGCTGTCTCCCTCTACGACTCAGCGTTCAACTTGAATTTTGTCCCATAGATTTGCATCATGAATTATCTCAACTCTCACATGCTTTCAACATCTCTGGGACATGAAGTGTTTTACAATAAAAAAGGTTATACTGATTCTGTTGTTTTTCTAAAAAGAGATAAAGGCGCGTTTTAGGGAAAAAACTTTCCAAGCTTCTTAAGAGAAGAGTTCAGAACATTCTTCTACTGCTATTATCGACCAGACCTAAGCAGAGCAGCCCAAATTGACAGACGTGCCCGCCGGGTCACCTAAGAAAAAACAAATATATCCCCCCAATAAAGGAAGGCGGGCCTCGATGTTGTGTTCATTCAAAGCAATAGAATTCATTCAAAAGGAGAAGAAAACACTGACACAAAGAAAAGAAGATCATGGATCAAGTTGTCTGCGTTAATGTCTAGCCTTTACGTTGTCTAGTCACATGCAATTCCTCTATTTATCCTAATCCTCATTTCAACTTATCATGAATGCTGGGACACCGGATTAACACTTCCTCGTGTTAACTAGGCTACCCACAATATTAAGCTTATAGTCATAAATCATGGAATGTCTAAAGCTTGCATCCAATACTAGTAAAATGTCAACAAAGAAAAAGTTGAGGCTGGAGAAAAGCTGAAGAAGTCCTATTGAGCCTATGATTGGGGTTGACTGTCGAAGTTTTTACAAGGAGTAAGACAAAGTGTGAATTCTAATTCGTATGAAGCATATAATGGGAATGAGAGAAAAGAAACGAGAAGTTGTTTATGAGCGTCGGCTTTACAAACTTCTTCTAGCATTCAGTTTCCTTGATAGTTGTGGAACTTCCCTCAACTTCTATGAGTGGAAAGTATCTAATATCTAATTCGAACTAATAAAGACGCACCTTCAGGGCTTCGGTGAGCACATCGTTTTCTGTCATTGGAATAAATCCGCATTTACTTTCCCAAGCACTCAGTGCAGAAACAGCGGCTTCACGAAATTGCGGTTTGGAGTCACCAAAACATGGCAGGATGTGGGGCTCAACATATCTAGAGGATAGGAAAAAAAAGGATTAACCTTGAGTGAATTTTAGTGAGCACTCCTGTATTACAAACAAAAATCCTTGCTAACTCGTCCACCACTTACCTGTCGATGTAAAAAAACGAGATGGCATGACCAACAATGGAAATAGACTCCTATTACAGTGGACAAAAAATCTCACACACACATACACACACGAGTCTAGTAGACAATTCATGAAATTTGAAAATTACAAGATAAACGATGTTACTGACGAGAACGGAGGAAGAATCAATACCTCCATAAATAAAAACTAGTAACTCACTTTCTCGCTCCTGCCTGACACGCTTTTTAAGATACGTTAAGATGACTAAAAAACTTGTAATAATAAGCAAAAGCTATTAATCAAAGAGGGCAATAAATTTGGTTGCTAAATTAACACCATGATATAATGAAGCTACAGATGTTTGGTTCATTAGACATCAATAATACAAACAATAGGTCTTAAAAAAGCACAAAGATTTATATTTATCAAATAAATTCAATAACAATTATTCACAATCAGAGACGTAACGGTCAGTGACACAGGTGCGAAATCTACAGTGGATATTCAGTACTATAAATATAAAAGCGGTTATCAAAGAGATTTCGGGATACTATAAATATACACTACTCACTTGAGAAGTTTCTTCGAATCTGCTTTCGACAGCGCCTTTGCAAATGCCTCCATCAACCCGAGCGTGGTCTTTCCGAGAATTTTGTTAACATCTGTGCAAAGTTTAGCGATAACTGAGAGCGGTTCCTGCATATCAGGGCCCCCAGTAATGAAGGGATTCGCCTTGAGCACTTCATCGATTTTCTCCAGACCCTCTTTTCTCTCCTTCCAGTTTTTGCTCGTCAGTAGAGTCAGGACCTCGCCAAGTTTTTCACTAAAATGTGGGAGTGAGAGGTACCAAATAAACAATTCATTATTATTTTTTTTATTAAAAAGCGTTTTTAAAATGTTGCTCTAATAAGCTCCCACTATAGTTTGCGCGCAAGGAAAAAATCGAGTAGGTTAACTCAAGTGGTATTTTAATGAAGATGTTCATGAGAAATAGGCGCAAGGTAACAAAAAGAAGCGATGGAAATTAAGTTAATTAGTTAGAGGGTCTACTGCGAGACAGTGAACGGTAATTTTGAGAGGATAGGAGTAATGCTGAACGAGGGATTCGAGTTCGAGTTCTACTAGTTGAAGATCTGAAGAGAGAGAGAAGAGAAAGACCAATTTCCGTGCAATAATTGGCTATTCAAGTTTTAGAGAGATTTCAATGGCAGTTACATTACGAACAGCACAACAAACCAAGACAGCATTATTGAATGAGCAAGCAAACCAATCAATCTCCCAATTTAAAACCAAACCTCTATTCCCCCCGAACAAGGAGGCCAACCATTGAGATTGACAAACTGTAACCATATTTGTCAATAATAATAAGCATCTAGCAATTCAACAGTGTGAGCCAAGATCATGGAAGCAGTTCGGTATCGGCATATTAGTTGTCAATTAAAAGGCATGATTGCATCCACAAAATATACACACAACTAATCACTTTCAATATACTACCATTGGCCTGACTAGACATTCGAGATTCATAGGCAAATAATGATGGCGTGGGCCGAATCCAAACTATCTAGTAGAACTTCGTGGGAGGAGGAGGAGGAGAAAACTGCAGAAATCCATCTCAATTAATCAAAAAAATATATTTTGATACACTAAGAACTATCGCTTATTTTTATAACTATCCTTAATGCGATCACTTCTATTAAAATAAGATTCAATATGTAAATAAAAACCTCAATTAAATGGCAATTTGACCATCAAACTGAACTGATATCCAATGCATACAGGTGCTGTATGGAAGAATGTGACTTTGTATATTCCACTTTAAAACAAAAAAGCATTTCTAAGTTGAATTGGGCTCAAATGGTTTCATTGAGTTATAATAATAAGTGATTCGAGTACCTAATTTAAGTCCTTAAAAGACAAGTCGAATGAAACGTCATGTACGAAAATTTCAACCTCAAATTTGGCATTGAATTCACAGGATTTACTGAAAAAGTAACACCACCCATTCTTCTGAGATGTGAGAAGTAAGGAAATAAAAAGAACTCCACTGTCTTTCAAAGCTATGCCCAACCGCCTACCCGAACAATTGGGGAAAAATTTAGCAAAAGAGAAAAAACGAATCGACGACCGAAAAGGTTAGATAAGGAAATTGCACTATTGCCAAAGAGTTTTAGTGAAGATTAACCGCCATTAGCGTCGATTACAGCCCCAAAACTCGGAACGGCCCTGGCCCCAGAAAAATCTAAATTTACACTTTCTCTGGGAAGATTCGTAAAAGTACATTCATTCTGCGAGTAACGGGTTTCTAAAGAATTAGCACGGCGATTAGGGTCTTATTTCACAGCGCCCCATACGTAGTAGTTCGTCGGGATTAAGATATAGGGTATTTGTGTAGTCGAATCCTGTTGACACAATACACATGACCTATTACTGGTTACTCTCGTTTGCTATCAAGGGGCTTAACTACCACAGTGGCCAGAAATTCCACAAAAGCAGCTGAATTCAATCTCAATCAATCTTTAATAAAATCACCAACGCCCTGGACGACAGAAGAGACATTTGAAAACTATAGAATCTGGGGGAATTTAGCCTGCATGAAACGATAGGTGCCCTTCGAATTGCATATAAGCTGAAGAGCCTGGTAACATGCCCGTTGTGTTTTTGGTCTTGACAAATATTTTTCTCATTGGGGTGTGCGATAGACTTACCTCCACGTGATGCACCCTGGGCAACGTATATTCATACGGCAAAAATGTCTATTAACAGGCAGTTGACTTCTCACTTCAAACAACCATCACCTCACTCTATGCCATATTCGACCATTTCCACAGTACTCTTCTTACTTTTTTCTACCTTTGTGTTTGTCTCTTATATCTTTGAAACACTCTTCTGTCCCCCCACCTCTCGACTTTGTTCAATTTGATGTTCCTTCTCCTCTGTGAAGTCTGAAGTCAACTAAAGGGCTAATGATAACCATCAAGACGCCTGCCATTTGATATAAATAAATAAAATGTATTTTTCTCATAGCAAAGAACTAGAT